TACTAATATATACTATATACTAATATTTATTATCTGCTAATATAATAAATACTAATATATAGTATGTACTAATATATACTATATACTAATATAATAAATAGTAATATGTAATATATACTAATGTATACTAATATAATAAACACTAATATATACTATATACAACGTATTATTTGATTTATTTCACGGTTTTTCTTTAATGTTACAAACAACCCTTTATCTTTTAATCTTAGGAACTTCTGTCTTAAGGTTACATGTCGGTATTACTTTTGTTTTATTTCTTATAATTATTACACCTGTTTTAATACTTTAACTATTCAGGTCATTTATCATCTCTTGCAGCTAATGTGACGTTTCTGATATCTATATATAAAATTCTGTGACTTCCGTTAGTCCGTCCATCACATCACATACAGACACTGACCAATCGAAAGCAAATTTGGGGGAGAATTGCAAACAGGTAAAGAGTTACAAAGTACAGTTGATTTTATTATGGTGTGTAGATTAGTAGAAAGTAGAAATTGCCGTGGGGAATTGAACTTTTCAAGAAAATTGAGAATATTTGTATTTTGTGACAAGTCAATAGAGTTGAGAAATTACACAGAATGTTTAACTTTTTTATAGTTGTACTTAATGAACCCGAACGAATGGAACACGTGCGAAATCTTGCCTGTTTACTTGCACTCATTCTCTCTCACTCGTTCTTTCCCAATTACTGTCATTTAAAAATACCAATTGATTTAATTAATTCAGTTTCTTGGTGGCGTGGACGCTTGGTTGAAGAAAGAATGTTAAATATATATATATATAAAATTCTGTGACTACCGTTTGTCCGTCCGTCACGTCTTCTAAAATAGCCACACATTAACCGATCAAAACCAAATTTTGAGAAGGAATTGCAAACAGCTCAGAGGGCACAAAATACAGTTGGTTTTTATTTGCGTGCGTAGCTTAGTACAATAAATTTTCATTAATTTTTTTGAAAAAATAAAGTTTTATTATCTAACATACAAAATACCCCTATTATTTTAAAAACAACTTAATGATTAAGATAAATACTTATTTAATAAAAATTCAATATTATTTATTGCATATCTTCATCGGTAAGTTTGCGAAATTGAATGAAACGTAGAATTTGTAAATCTCGACAAAAATGTTAGCCATATCTTCCCGAAACAATAAATAACTTTTGTTACGTACCGTATGCGTTAATAATGAAGTATAAGTCAAGTCTTCAATGTTAAGATAAAACAGTATTTAATTACAACCGCATATAAATACTTAACAAGAACAACGAAGTAAAAGTCAACCAAAGATAATTAACCATTTCAGTGAATACCTTGTTAGTAACGGGTCTCGGCTTAACACCCGGTAAATCCTAAATCAAAACCCAAATCATTGACACACAATAATTCACACTAATTTGACTGGATAGTTCCACTCAATAATCACTCAATAAACACTACAGTCAGTAGCCTGACACCGCTATTTATACACCTGGCGGAAAACATATATTCATAAGTTCAGAGTGTCACGCTCGAACCTCGAAGTCGGTAGTTACTCATTTTCTTCCTATATGACACTTACCAAACAAGAATATGTAAATACATAGCAGAGTGGGGTCTGAGAAATACCATAAGAGAATATGTATTGTTTAGAGCTACAAAGAATATCAAATTATAGTGAGCCACGATCGATCATATCCTGAATAGGCACGACGTATACAAGTAGTATATAATGGTTTTTTAAGTGGGATCGATTGACATCATGTCAAATGAATTGTAAGCATTCCTAGGTTTATAAGAAAGATCGATGAAAGTTTCTCTACTCGATCAATTGCTCAAAGCCTGTTTATTTTTTTTCATTATTAACTTTCAGTCAATTTAAAGCCCGAGGGCCACTCAAGATAGAGTGTTACTGTGTTGAGTTGTATTAGCGTAAGAAAGGGCAAGAAGTGAAGTCCTTGGGTCTATGCAAGAAAGCTAAGTAATTCTAGACTTGAAGATGTCAAGATTGAATTAGTTAATAAAATATCAGTTCAATCTGAGACTTTAGAAGTATAGAGTTGAAAGAACTGGAAACCCCGTCTTGAACAGAAAAACTAGGGATAAACCTCTACTCCTTAAAAAAAAAAAAATAAGGAAAAAAACGGGGATGAATATGAACCGGGCGATAGGCAAACCTATTTACTCCTATTAAATGATCAAACATCAGAATTTTGTTTCGGAAGGGTTTCTTCATTAGGTCAGAAACCATTTCACTAGCCGCCCCGTAAAATAGTCACTAGCTTAATTATAGTTGTAGCTATGGACATAGTTCTTTTAATTTAAGTATGTTTTTTTTATATTGTTAGTATATTTTATTAATGTTTTATATTTTTATTAAAAGAATTACATTTCAAGTATATATAGCAGAAATAGCTGAAAGAGCTGAAATATATCATTCATTATCATTGTTAGCAGCAGTAAAAATACTAATTGCAACGATAGCAGTAATAGCAGTTGTAGATATTTATTCTGCCTGGTCAAATATTTAAAACTTGTTATAACAGAAAAAAAAGGAAGAATTAAAACTAATAACTATATTTGCTTTCAACGGTGCACAGGTGTATAAAAGAAAGGAGTCCTATAGGATATTTTAGTATTAATTCAATTCGTTTTTAAATTGTGTATGGAAGAGACTGAAAGATACAAAGAGTAGTCATTTGTTAATGTTGAGATGTTCATGTTAATTATTGAATATTATCGTGACTTTAGCGTCACAGATCTTTCATTTGCCCAGTGCTTTTGCCTGACCTTTTTCAACTTCTAGCAGATTAAATCTTCTGTTAACACGGCATCTACGAAGACACAACGTTATTTTCGAATCCTTAAGCTTCACATACAAAACTGATAAAAGCGTATTGTTAAACAATATAATCTTCATAATAAAATAAAGATGTATAATAATTTTATGCAGTTGGCCCAAAAGTTAAATTGTGACGGAAATATGTGAGGCTATCCCGTGATATATCTCGCATCTAACTGGAGTTTCAAAATTCTTTCTGCTGTAGGCAGAGTGGTTATACAGACATAAAATAAAATATCCATCGTCAAAATATATATATATATATATATATATATATATATATATATATATATATATATATATATATATGGGATTAATGCAAATAAAATTTGTCACTCAGCTGTTTGATGTTATATTCGTTGATGGACATTTTGTAATTGTTCAATCCACTCTCCAGGGGATTTCAGGTCTGGCAGATAGGTGAGGGGTCGTTAGAGAGAGAGAGAGAATGAGAGAGAGAGGGAGAGAGAGAATGAGAGAGAGAGGGAGAGAGAGAATGAGAGAGAGAGGGAGAGAGAGAGAGAAGGTATGACATTTAACATATATTAAAAAAAGGAATCTTTTGAAAGCCATGATGGCCTAAGTACTCAAGAAAGCAGATAGCACGTACTAAGTACTCAAGAAAGAGATAGCACTTTTTTTTAAATATGCGCTACGGGACTTATTTGCCAACTACTATTCTACGGTAATTATCTGAAAAGATTAAGAAGCATAAAGCCGTTCGACTGACTAAAGTGAATTGCCCAAGGATAGATTTATTTTCACTTTTTTAGAAATTATAAGTTTGTCCTCAGCTATACCTGAGGGATTTAACCAATCGGACTATAATCTGAAAATACTTTTAAATGCCATGACTATTTAGGACGTAAGTGACCATGGTTCTACACAGATTTCTTTTCTTTATCAAAAATAGTTGTCTACTCTCTGTTTGACCCATAGCCGGAAGAAGTAAAAGATGTATTCACGGCTTTTCAAAGGGTATTTTTGTGACAATGAACGGAACAGACTAACGCGTAATTGGTGTCCGACTCGGCGAATCCAATTTCTATTCGGCTCTCCGATATCCGTTATACTAACCGAACATCCTGTTGCTTTTAGAGTTAATTTGACATGATATTGTGCCATATTACACTTAACTTAGTAAACATGATATCATTATTAGAACGAAATAGTTAACTAAGTATTCATGCAAACCATTAGTTTGATTTGCACTGAGAACACAATACTAGTGCCAGACTATGCTTAATTCAGTAAATATCAATATAATACCCGTAAACTATATTTGTGACTATAGTCTAAGTTAAGCTAGTTCTAGTAAATACTTATAATATACCGACTGAATATATTTCTTATTACTTAAATTGTTTCCAGTTCGTACAAGCTGTCACTCAATTTGAGAGAAAAAAGACGGTTTCCTCGATGTGTTTTAGACTGCTTACCCAGAGAAAACTTTCAGTTAGCATATTTAAGAAATACATATGTCTTGCTAAAATTATTTTCATATTCAAAAAAAAAAAAAAACGAAATAATTTCTAAGGAATTAATAGATTTTTTATTTGTAATCTGATATACTTTCTTATTATTTAAAACATTATATTCACTAGAAGCACAGTTTTGTGGTTCGGATTGAGCCGAGTTCGAATTCCACTTGCGTTCATTACATTCACTTACATACTAATACCCTTGGAAAAGGTATGAATTCATATCTTCTCCCCCCAGGGTTAAATAGCAGACTAGGTTCTTGGGTGGCAACCGGCCTAGGAGAACGAAAAATCTGCATTCAAACCAGCCAAAAGAGGTTTGGGATCCGTCAGGGTATCTTTCCCAAGCCACACCACTCCTACTGTGGCAGCTGCACATGAGGTGTCTCTACGACTCGAAAGTGTTACGGGACTCAAGATCGATATTTACCGGATAAACGTCTATTTTTAGGCATCCATATTTTCTTAAACAATATTTATTAACTTTCATTGGAGAGTCTTAATAATGAAACGTTGTATTCCGGCAGGGTTCGAATTTGCGCCGACTTTATAGGGGAAACCATCTTCAGGTCCGGTATGCTTTAGACCACTCAACCACGAAAACTGAATATATAGAACATTTCAGAATGTGCAGTTTTAACTGATTTCATCACGGAGAAAAATATTGAAACTTACCACGCCAGCATCAAGTGTCATTCCCTTGCCGTTGCTAAAAGTTGAGGCTAGAGTAGAGGAACATGATTCGTCGTAGGCTGCTGTCTGTCCATCGTTAGTTGCAGAATTGATTGAAATGGTCCACATGCTAGCAGCATATCCATCACAGTTGCAGTCATCATTAGGACCCCCATCTCCAGAGGCCCATACATAGATACTTCCTTTGCCGTTACGACCCTGTAAACAAATTAATAATTTAAATATATATGAGTAAGCATGTTACTTACAAGATATAGAAAATATAAATTGTATATAAATATTTCTAAAAGTGATTATATTTAAAATTAATTTATATCAAAATTTATTTATTTATTTATTTATTTGTGGGTATTTTTGTTACTGTAAAGTTAGAAAAAAGAACGACTTATCGTAGCGAAACGTTTTTTAGGACAGTCCCGCCCTAACTAATGGCGTGCTTTACTAAAGGCCATATCATAGTGCACCTCTCGCAAACAACTGAAGGTCTATCTCTAATCTCCTCGTTCCACTAAGATCGAAGATTTTTAATTTGATTTTCCAGTAGTTCGTTGTCGTAGCTTAAGGATTTTTTGTTTTTTACGTTTGGAATAACTTTTAACTTATTTAATTGAATTAATTATAAGATTAATTTATTTTATTTCCTTCGGATTTGCTATATTATTTTATGTTTCCATTACAGAAATAACCTTTTTGTGCAAAATTCACTAAAGATATAATTTATGAAACTTGGTCTTGTTACTTGGAAGTTAATTTAACATTTTTTACTTAAAGTTAATTCTATATCCTTCTGTATTAAATTTCTATTCTTAAAAGCAAATAAACTAATGATCAACTTTATTTATTTTTATGTAATCTTTATTTCTATTTCTAACAAATGAAAAAGTATGTTCAATTTTTACCACACTTCTTATGCTGAAATGTAACATTTTAATTTTACTTGATTTACTAATTTGTTTTTACGGCCCATCAATCTTTTGTGGGTTATTTAAAGTCATAAAATATTTTTAGATCTTAAGAATGTTTTGTAAATAATAAAGATTTAATGATATAAATCCTACTAATTAACCTATAGTTGGCGAAGAAGTGGTGGATTCATACATTTTCCAAGGTATTTGGGTATAAATCAATATAACGAACCTGACTAGAATTGGAACTCATCTATTTCTAATTACAAGATGTTATTCATTACAGCCCATGCACACCAAAGCTTATAACATCTAGAATAGCCAAACGGTCACCCATTTAGGAAGTGACCTGGTTCGACGCTGCTTAACTTCGGTAATCGTACGCGAACTGGTGTTTCAACGTGATTTGGCCGTATACCGTCGGTTGTTTTAAAGAAATACTTTAATAATCTGATTTTTCTAGTCTTTCTAGTTATAAATGTTACAAAGTCTCTCCTAAGAAAATTAATGTTTTGTTATGTTTCATTTATTTAAAAATCCAATTATTAGTTACATGTTAATTAATTAATTTAATATAATTTAATTTAATGTTTTTTCTCTATGATATTATTTATAACAACAACTATATTGATGATAAAATTTAATTATTTTACAAATAATTTATGGCAGCGAATGACAAAAACACTGGAGACACAGAAATGTGGTCCTGCAGAAAGATGCTAAGGATACCACGGACCGAACATATAAGCAACCATGATGTTTGGAAGACAATGGAAACAAAAAGGAAACTTATAGCTGACATCAGGAAGAGACAGTCGAAATTTCTGTGGCACGTATTAAAGAAGGAGGGCTTGGAAAATCTGATGCTCACAAGACAAGGAAAAAGGGACAGAGGAAAACAGCGCGTGACATATTTGATGGGCTTGAGCGGATGGATTGCAGAATAGGTTTTGTGAAAAATAAAAAGACAAAACTTATTAAGAGCTACAAATATTAGGTTGGTGCAAAAATAATGACGTAATAATGTCGTTTTTGACGTTAAAAAAATACATTAAAAAACGACATTATTACGTCATTATTTTTGCACCAACCTAATAACATGAACATGTGGAAGGCCATGATCGCCGAAGTTCTGAAGTGGCACGGCACATGTTTTGCGTGTTTGTTCCTACTGATATTAAAAACAAAAGTTTGTTACATTTTAGTTTAACATTAAGAAACGGAAATATTAATATTTTATACTACAAGAATTTTGTTATGTAAAGTTAATGTCATAACTAATTTCAATAAATTTAATTCGATACTTTTACCTATAGTAAACGAGGCGTACAGAATGTTAATATTGACCTTGCAGCTAAACCACGTACTTTAAAGACTCATTTTTTCTAGATACTTCTATAATAAGAAATGGACAAAATCCGACAATTTATTTATTAAAGACATTTTTATGTTTAACGTTCTTTTTTATAGATACAATACTTATTTAATACTGTTTATTATAAACAGAGCATTTACTTAAATACTTGTATCTATAAAAAAGAACGTTAAACATAAAAATGTCTTTAATAAATACTTCTATAAGCATAAAAATATATTTATGACAAAATAAGTCAGCATGATAATAGTTGCTTTATTTCTAAACTATAAAATATAAATATTACTTTCATGTTCATTTTAAGTCATATTTTTGTTCCAAAATTCTAATATTTTTTTCATTAAAACCATTTTAACGTGGACAATTAATTCAAAGATTAAAATGCATATACCTTTTTACAACCCTTGTTAACCGGGTGAGAAGTGATGGATCAGAAGCTTAACTAGATTATATATTAATTGTAATATAGATCTTAGTAAATAATGAATATAACAAGGATTAACTTTTTAAGCTAAATTACTTATAAACTTAATCTCTTTGAATTTCTTAAGCTGACCTAAGGTAAAAATCTTCGATCCCAGTGAAACAAGATTTGAAATAGGTCACCAGTTCTGAGTGAGTAATGCACTATGAACAGGCCTTTAGTAAAGAATGTCAAATATGTTATAACTTTAATAACAAACCAAAATTTACTTTGGATAAATTCATGCTGGCCAAATTAAATAGATTTTGCGATTAAATGATTACTTAATCGGAATATATTTTTATGTGCAGTATATGAAGTCATTTTGATGCAAAGTCAAGGTAGAAAAAATTATTTTGTTTGAATAAAATAAAATAAAAATCTGTACCTTATTAACACCTTCGACAATAGCCCTCATTGTCAAATTTCTTGGCCCGTCAACAGTCATTCCATCATCGGTTGGTCCCCAACTGGCACTGTAGATATCAATGTCGTTTGGTTTGTATCCCATGGCATTTGCTTCTATCATGTCAGTCATGTATGGTTGATCAAGCATGCGCAAGCCTTTGAAAATTAAAATAAAATAAAACCTTAGACAAAAGCAGAAATATATTTGAAAAAAATGTCAAATGAATTACGAAGAAAAAAATCCACTGAATGTAATGAACAAAATACTTTTTTTTACAAATTCTTCCATTTAGCAAATAGTATTTACATGCCAATGTGCTATGGGTTTGTGCACAGAGCAGATATCATAATTAATATATATATATATATATATATATATATATATATATATATATATATATATATATATATAAAGGTTGCGGTGGATAGATTGTCGCTTAAATGACGCAAAAATGAAAATAACACTGACATCTCATTTTAAATTTTAACAGATATATTTACCAAAATTACACAAAAATATCTTTTTATTGAAATACTAAAGAGTAAATTTATTTATTTATTCTATAAAATCGCCATTAGCTTCAGCCACAGCCTCCAAACAACTTCCTGCATCTCTTCTGGGCGGTCTCCTTGTTAAGTTGGTGAATGCTTCTATAATCCTTGCCTTCAGTTAATTTTTGATGTTACAAGGAGTTCTGTTGGTCTCTTGCTTAACTGCGCCCTATACATAATAATCAAGGGAGATTGCAGTCTGGTGAATTAGGTGGCAAGATGTAAGTGGGGGTGTGGTCGTAGAAATTGCCTGACAGCCATGACTGGGTTCTTCTGCTTGTGTGGCATGGTGCAGAGTCATGTTTCCAGACATAGGGTGTTTCAGCAGCCACCCTCTTGACCAAGGGTAATACTAACTCCTCAAGTCACTTGATGTAGGCCCTCATGTTGAGTCTGAGACCCTAAGGGAAGATGAATTGAGGCATAACGTCGCCATCGCTAGTGATCACTCCAAACACCTTCGTACTCACCATTAGACTCATTCAACTCTTTTCGAATCCTCTGCACTGTTCTCAGATTGACACCCAATCACTCTCCCGGCGCGAATGTCAAGCAGTATTGTATGCCGTTTCCAAATATCTGGCGGAGTGAATTATGTCATGTTGCTTTTTTTTTTTTCTCTGAGACGGTGTCCATCTGACCCTAATATACTGTGCAGGCGACAAAATTAAAAACAAACATCGAGCATGCGCCAAATTAAAAATATAAAAACGATAATTTACCCATCGCACTCAATAGCTTTCATTTACTCTCGCATACGTCCCACACTCTCATACTTACACTCTCACTAAATTTTATTTTTTATTCTCGGAGTTGTTTTATCTGTTTTCTTTTTGAATTTGTAGGTCTGATGAATTGGATCGTATTTACGATTCCAATGGAATAAATTATGACCATGGAATATTAGTGTTTAAGCCTTTTTATTATATCCTTACTCTGTCCTGGACATTGAGTTCTACCTGGATTCTATCCTCTTGGAATTATTTTACACACACACACACACACATATATATATGTGTGTGTATATACGTTTGTATATATATTTGTGTGTTTTAGATATATGTGCACATATGTGTATGTATATTAACTACTAATATATATATATATATATATTAACTACTAATATATATATATATATATATATATATATATATATATATATATATATATATATATAGTACAGGTAATAAATCCGTTGTTATATAATGGAAGTGGATCCTAATGATATAAAATATTTAAAACTGATCCACAAAATGAGATCAATGTATTTATTATAACAGAGCATATAAATTACACAACAGAAAAATCAAAAATTACCTCATGAGTATAGTCAATTTCAACTGACGCCGACAGCATTAGTCTTATTCAATTGAGACTGTGGACTGTCCAACGTCTGAGTTGAATAGGACTGTCGCTCTTGGCGTCAATTGAAATACATTATAATTTTCAATCACGATGGTTAAACTGAAGAATGTTTTGCAGCACTAATTATATATACACTAATCGAACTTTGTGATACAAAAACTTTAGCGCACTAATCGAAAACGCATTAATCGAGTGGTGCCGATATCTATATATCCTGTCGATGTAATGTTATAACGACAAAACTCAATATGACTTACCCGCATTGTTCACATATTTATTTTTATTATTTTGCATTTTTACATTAATTTCTATATTATTTTACATCAGCCTTTCAAATATTATATTTTCTATACTTTTAAGAAAATTTATTATATGTTAATTAGGGTAATGAATGGCTTGTAACGAAACTGCTGTCTTTTAATAACCATATAGAACTGTTTGGCCTTATATCAGCACGGCTGATGCTAACCTCCAGTAGATTAAATCATTGTGTCTTATTGGTATCCCTTTTCCACTGACATGAATTGGAATGATTATACTGAATCGATTGTCAGGTTTACTGCTAGGAAAGTTGGTTCACTCAGTCATTCCTACCAGAATTTATTTTACACATTTATAAATCTACCATTTTTCTGTGCATTCAATATTTCTGCCATATCTGGTCTGTTACTCCTGTTATATATCTTGAGCTTATCGACAAAATCCAAAGAAGGGTTGCTAATTTAATCGGTTTCGACTTCAGTCGCTTTTCCATCGCTTTGACGTGTTTTACCACTCTGCTTTTTCTACATATATTTTCATGGTAATTTTTTTCTACATATATTTTCATGGTAATTTTTTTTCTACATATATTTTCATGGTAATTTTTTTTCTACATATATTTCCATGGTAATTTTTTTCTACATATATTTTCATGGTAATTTTTTTATACGTAAATTTTCTAATAAGCTCTCCTCTTTGATGCCTCGATCGCGTGACTACTAATTGAGCTATTAGCTCTCATCGTTTTATTGTTATAATCGCTAAATCTAACCGTACGTTCTCTTCTAATAATTTCTTTTCTCGTACATCTCGATTGTGGAACTCGGTTTCTTGCTTCCGCGCAACATACAATTTTCAAAAAACTAAATGCAGCCTCAATCACCATCTTCTAACTTATTCAACCTGTTCTGTTATTGTCCTTTCCCCTAACTAATGTCTTTTCATTCTCTATCTTAGTGACATTATCGCCTTGCTTGAGTCGAAATGATTAAAAAAAAGTTATACTGTATTTTTAATTAAGAGATTTCTTTCATAAACGTTATATTTATTGCGATATCTACCGACTTACAGACCGAGAAGTCCAAGGAAAGAAAACTAATTACATTAATTTAAAACATTAATTTAATTAGTTAAAATCAGAGATGTCTACTCAGACACGTGTGCCGACAAAAATGTAACATTTATGGTAATAATATCTGATTAAAAAAATCATTAATTGCTTTAAAATTAATTTGGTTATTTCTCGGGTTCGAAAATAAAGCAAGTAAATATAATCTTCGAAAGTTATCAACGAGTGAGTAGCATTTCTTAAGTAGATAATTCATTCTTATTTATGACAACTGTTTGTCGTATCCTAATTGGCAGAACAGTCTTTATAGCGATTCTTTATATTCTATTGTTAGCATTTACGTCAAGTTTGATCCTGAAATGGCAATATAGTTTCTTTAGTTACAGTTTTTGTCATCTTGTTTCAGTATTTTTAAATTTCCTCTTCGTTCACCGGCTAATTCTACAATTAGGTTCGCCTAGCGCCCGGGCCATACACCTTACCGGTCTTACGAACAGGAGTAAAGGTTTATCCCTTGTTTCATGTTTAGGATTGGGTTTCCAGTTCCTCCTCAAGTCTACTTCAACTTTATACTTCTAACTTCTAAACTCTGAAATTTGATTTACTATTTCTTTCTCTTTTTTCTCTTCTCAATAAGAGTACAGAGGTTCGCCTATCGCCCGATTCATACTCCTCTCGGTCTTCCGAACAAGATTACAAGTCTATCCCTTATTTCCTGCTTAAAAGTGGGTTTCTGGTTCCTTCTAAAGTCTACTTCAACTCTATACTTCTAACATCTACGCCTAAGCTCTGAAATTTTATTTATTGCTTACTTTTTTCTTTCAATAGGAGTTGATAGGTTCGCCTATCGTCCGGTTCACACTCCTCCCCGATCTTTTGAACATGAGTAGTTGTCTATCCCTTGTTTCCTGTTTAGGATTGGGTTTCCAGTACCTTCTAAAGTTTACTTCAAATCTATAATTCTAACGTCCCTGCCTAACCTTTCTTGAATGTTTGTCGATTCCTAATTGGTAGGGAACACTTTGTGTAAAAGAAATGGCTTCCCTTGTGGGAAAGGACAATACTAGTCCGATTCCTGTCGTAAAGCACATTTTTTTTAGTAGAACTAGTACACCTGTAGATCGGTTGATGTCAATTCAAACTCACTAAAAATACCGTTTATCGTGATACGAAATATCTAATATTGTTTAGGTGTTGGAAAAACTTCTTTGTTTAGTTGTTTTTGTTAAGACGATGTTTCGGCTTATACATTCTTTCTACAACCACTTATTTTATGGCTTAATATCTCATATCCCTATATTTAATAATCTATATTTGTCATTTCCTTATCTATTTTAGATTTTATATAGTCGCTTCTTATATTTCCTTCTAAAGTTTTTTTCATTCTTTTTCAACCCCAGTAACCCCTTGTGTATTAGTGGCATTATCACCTTGTTTGGCTTGAACAATTTTTTAAAAAAATATTCAGGCTCAGGATTTTATAAAGATTAAGTTTATATCTTTATTCCTGGGTATGACGATAAATTGCATCCGGCAGCAAGATCTCTGATCGGGAGATTGGATCTTTTCTGGAGGTGGAACCACCTCTTAATTGTTGTTGTTGTTCCCTGATCCCCCCTAACTGGGGGCGGTTGTATCTGTTAGTGATGGGCAAATAGTGAACCCCCAAACAAAAACAAAACTTTATAAAAGTATAAAAATACATATTTATAGTAAAAATATCAGGAATACATTTTTTTTATAAAAAAAAAATAGCAACAATACATTTTTATAGTAAAATTACCAATAATACATATTTACCGTAATATTAAAAAATTTGAAAGCTCTCAAGAAAATTAAATGACGATGTTAAATGACCCATAAGGTGTTGATATGCCTTCAATCAATAAATCAAGTTTCTATCTTCAGA